ATTGGATTCCACTTTTTCCTATGTGTAGCTAAGAAATCCATCTATCCAACCATGATTTTCCGACCCATTTTCGAGCTAAATCGATTCCTCACGGGGCTTCCGACCTGCACACTAAAAACAAGAAGAAAAACGTAGAAAAACGACAAAATACACGAAAAACACATAAAAAGCCAAAATAGAACAAAACACACAATAAACTATAAAATGAACTAAAAACTAACAAATAGACCTAAAATGGGGGAAAATGAACGACAAAATAGTACAGAAAAACGTAACAAAAATGGTCACAACAACTCCCCCACACTTAAACCTTTGTTCGTCCCGAATAAAGAGAAAAGAAAACAAACACGAACATGGGTACGGTTTCAAATAAGACATGCCTCAAAATGATTAACTCAATTGGGTCGAATTCCAACGACCGTACGACCATGTGCCTCAACTATCGACTTGGCCTTAAACTCAACACATAGGTCATTATATATGCCTCGCTCTTTTTCTTATATGAATATGTGATGGGTTCGCTCAAAATTGGTCGATATTCACGTTTCAACATATGCTTGCCAATTGTCTAAATTACTCGGAATCAATCAAAGCTCAAAATTTTTGAATCAAGAGGACTTCTCGGGTTGTAATGTGGGATGTAGGTAAAGGTAAGGATATATATATATAGACAAGAAGCTCAAATAAACAATCAAAGTTCTCGAGTAATAAAATACTCGAATGTCCGCCACTCGACCAAAGTCAACAAGATAGCATACATACTGTCCACCAATGTCTCCACAAACAACACATAAATGTTCCATTCGAATTGCAATATTGCTTGACTTATTACATTCATTTTTTTTAAAGAGTTACTATTTTCGACCAAGCTCGAATCGTAAGGACAATATTCCTTAGGTTTAGACATTGGAGGTCATCCAAGTGTCCTAAAGTGGTTTTCCAATAATCATTACTTGTTAAAATGAATAACAAGTAAGCGAAGTAGAATCCAATCGATTCGTCTTGCGAGCTCTCATGTATTATTATTATTATTATTATTATTATTATTATTATTATTATTATTATTATTATTATTATTATTATTATTATTATTATTTTTCTTTTAATGTCAAGCATAAAATGCAACTCGATTTTCACCTCATTCAACAATGACTCCGTTTTTACCAATCACCACGCATATCAATCAACAAAATTCATTATATGTGCGGCTGAGAAGAAATGGCTCAAGGCTCTAACGGGTTACTAAGGAATATAATGTTAAGTCCAAAGAACAAGGCAAAACGAGCTAACAAACAAAACGCCTCAATCATTTTCGAAATTTCAAACTTTAACCGATTTTTTTCAAATAGACTCAAGGCAAATTCTAATCATTCGAGAATACGACCAATATCTTTCAAGAAAAAAAAAGTAAGGATCAAAACCTCACAAGGTAAATAAATGTCACTAAAAGCAATCAAGTAAATATCGAGGCAATGGTAAGTACGTCCGTCATCACAACTTCCCAATTTCATCAAACAATCATCAACAAATCATATAATTCACCAATACCACATGCTCGACAACATGACAACCTAGATACTAGACCGGTCCACCACATAAGCATGCAAAATCCACGTAGACTCCCCCACACTTAAAATGAAGCAATGTCCTCATTGCTTCCACACATAACCGGGAAGTTCAAATATCAAGACTTAGCACTTTCACATGATGAACCAATTTAGTAACTAGCACACAAGAACAAAGACTCAAAAGAAAAGACACGAAACAATCTCACAAAGATGAAAAGAGAAAGAGTGTGCAAACCGAAGTAGCCTCGAGAGAAATAAGCATTCACATGCAAACCATCTGCCCACGATCAACTTGTCCTCGATACGTCTTGCCCAGAAAAACCACAAAGAACTCCAAACTCCCATTATTTAAAAATAAAAAATAAATTAAAAAGCATAAACGAAACACACAAGAAAGTAGTAAATCACTTGGGTTGCCTCCCAAGAAGCGCTTGTTTAACGTCATTAGCTTGACGAAACCTGTACAAATCAACCAGGATCCAAAAAGAAGTGACGATCATGCCATGCATTCGTATTCTCGAGAAGCGGCAGCATGGGAAGGGTGGCATGATCGCGGACCTGGTGGGCTCGGGTGGCAATGTTCTTGTTGAATCGAGCGTGAGCACCAAGGATGGTAACGAAACAGCCCAGAGCTCTTCTCATCAAACCTCCAGAGTCAACCTCTCGGAATACGAGAATGTCCGTGGAGCATGTCGAGCTAAATGGGGCCTTCTCGACGGTGCGGAGGGATGGCTTGAGTGAGGGACTCTCGAATTCGGGCACAAGAGTTTTCTCCATCACGATATCACCCTCAATCTCTGGGAGCGCATCTTCTTCGTCTTCAGTCTCCCCCTCGTGAATCTGATAGACATTGCTAATGGGCTCATTGACTTGTGGCTCGACGGATTGAGTGCGTTCTATTATACCGTCAAGCTGCACCACCAACCGAGTGCATACAACCTCTATCTTCTCTAGTCGAGTTGTTTGGGTCGACATACGAGCAAGAATGAGATCGAAATTTTCATCATCCGTCAATGCGTTTCCCCGAAGTTCATTAACCATGAGGGAATCGGGGGAAGAATTGTAAACTCGATCCTCCAATACTCGAATACGCTCCGCTAGGTTCTCGACTTCGGCCTCAAGATTTTTCGTTCGGGCGGCTTGGGAGGTCAGAAAATCGAGAACCCGTTAAGCTTAGCATCGTACTCTGAGGAGTCCACGGGGGACTCATATGATTGCTCGAACGGTGACGGATATCACGGTTGCTCGTAAGAGAAGGCATATGTCTGGCCATGCTCCCACGCATCGTAGCTCGGCCCATTATTCCAGTAAAGGGTATGCGAGAAGGGAAACATGTTGCTTGGGTTCATTGATTTTTCTGTTCAAAATACCTACACACAAGAACAGAACAACCACGCGTAGCCACGAAATATATATATAATTTTTATTTTTATTTTTTTTCTACATACGAATTATCAAAAATATATTAAAAACAAGAGAGATGGAAAATAAGAAAATCGAGAGAAAACACTGAAATTAAGAAAATATCACAAAAGTAAGAGAAACACGAAAAATAAAACCAATACTAAAACCAAATATCCTACTTGCCTTCCCCGGCGACGGCGCCAAATTTGTTGTAACAAATTATTTTTATTTTACCGAGCACCGAATCGAATGATTCGTTTCTCGGGTCGATCTCTCGAGGAAGGCGGTTCGGAATTTAGAATTGGTGTTGAAATCACAAGAAAGGAAAATTAATTCCTAAACACTCTAATCAAGATGGTAAAGATTGATTATTAACTAAGAATAGCATAAAAGCAACTAAAAAGATGAATTGAAAATGCGAAAGAACTAGGGAATCGGGAATAAACGTTTTGAATCGAAATGCAATTATCAGCTAGTATCATTCCGTTAAAAGGCTCGATTAATTAACTCATTTAGCGGTTTAACCTCAATACGTCTCCGAACATGCTGATAAACATAAATGAGCGAATTAACAAAACAATTAAAACATAGACAATACATCTCCGAATATGTCTATTTTGTATGAGTCTCGATCAATTGACCTTTCCCCTTTCGGTTCAAGAGTCGATTAAAATAGACTATAGGATTGTCATTCGTCTAGTCTATTCGGATAGTGATCGTCACAATGGAACACATCATATTCAATTTGAAAACAAGTTAAACATTGAAGTGTCACTCTTCAATTCTTAGAAATCAATTGCAAGGTTGAATTGTCATTTTTCAACAATATGCCATTCCAAAGAGAAAATCAAAAACCGAATTTAAAACTAACTCATACAAAGTGAACAATTAATTACATACGAAATCAAATATTCATTCCCTATCCCTAGCAATAAGAATTAGCTAAGCATATTGAATTCAACACAACATAATATTTCTCCTAAATTAATCATTTTTCATGAATTAATTAAAGAGAGAACTTACAATTGATCCTAGTGTTGAACATTGGAGGTCATCCAAGTGTCCTAAAGTGGTTTCCCAATAATCATTACTCGTTAAAAAAAAAATAATTTCTGCAATAATAAATTACAAAATTATTTTATTTATAAAACGTATTTTGAGAATCCGTTTTTAAGCTTTTTAAATTTATTTTTTGCAATAAAAAATATATAAAATTAATTTTATTAATAACACATATTTCAAAAATACGGTTTTTAAAATTTTATATATAAAATGCATTTTAAAAATACCTTTTAAATTTATTGAATTAATTCAATCACGTAATTAATTATATTGACCTTAAAACGTATTCCGAAAATACGTTTTACCTTGTAAAACGTATTTTCGCAATACGTGCTTTTTATTTTGGTCGACCCCCTTTTTTTTGTTTTTGTCCACTTAACTTTTTTTTTATTTTTAAATAAATAAATAAATCCTTCTAATATCAATCTTATTTGGTAATTAATTTATATTATCGCCCCCTCCACTTTGTCTTAAAGTATTATATTAAAATAATAACTCTTAAAAATAAAAGTTAACCAGCCAAACTGGAGAAGGGCGTTACTATTAGTTTATTTATTAGTTGTAATATAATTAATTCAGGTGTGCGTTTTTATCTGGTCCTCACAACTTTTTCGTCGGAGACATCGAAGCCCTCAGCCAATCGATAGCCATAAAGAAAA